TACGTAATTTATTTAATACAGCTACTGAAAAATTAATTTCACAATGTGGATGAAAAAATGTTTGGACGCTATATTGAAAAAAGGCTCTGCGTGTTTTAAATATGTTTATTTTAGCACTGGTGTAACTTACATTGCATATGATGAATATATTACACAGAGATCTACATTGGCACCAATAACCAAAGAACGAAAATAAAAAAATAATAATAAAAATAAAATTAAAAAAAAGAAATAATAATAAGTAAACGAAAACGAAATATTATTAATAATAGACATACAAAGAGAAATATCAATCTTTCCATTTTCACATATATTAAATATATATTGGCATTGTTCGAGGATTAAATTATAAATATATCAATTAATAATCAATACAAGAGGTGGGTTGGTGAAAGATATTGAACTCCACATTCTAATTTTGCATTAACACAAACACGATTCGATAGTTAACCCCTAGTTACGCAACAATATTAGCAATAAAGATAGTAATAATAATAATAAGCCCTAAGTACTAAGTTATAGCGCCATTGCTCGTGTAGGCCTTATTTTTATTATACACTTACTTACAATATACAATGTACAAAAACTACTTTAGTTATAAAAATATTAGCCTATAATTATTCATCGATATTATATTAGATTTTTGTTGTTTGCATTTCTAACATTTACCAAAATGGAAAAAAGAAAAAAAAAGAACATAAGTGTACAAATAAAAAGTAGTAAGAATTACTTAAAAGAAAAATAAAAAGTACGGTCACTAAAACGAGTTACTCGTAAATTTGTATAATAATCATATAATATTATTTTCATATCCATGTTAATATATATATATATATTTTCTCATATTGTTTTTCGATCATTTCTGCCTTGCGACTCAACAATATTTAACGCACGTTTACTAAATTATCCTCACCGGCACAAAAATCCATTCATATGCACTCAATCCATACACACTCAAATCAACATTCATACCATGCTATATACAAGTTACAAAAAAAAGGCAAAAACTCGATCACCTGTAAATATTCTGTTTGTTTTTTCACCTTATATATCATATATATATAAATTTAATTTTTCTTCTTTATATATTTTATAAAAATAGACATCTCCCTAACAATTCCAAGGATGGCGAGACTCCAGAAACTTTTGGTTTCCCTGCGTTTATTATTTGTTTGTTTCTTTCTTTCTATTATAACAGTACTTTTTTTTTGAGAACGAAGTATTTGAATACATCTGTATTTGATTTTGATTTTGTTTTAATAATAATGAAACAATAAAATTATAAGGGAACGAGCAAAAAAAAAGACAAAAGAACAAAACTAGAACTCTTCTCAGTTAGAATTTTCCCCGAAATATACTAACTAAACTAACTAAAATGGTAATTCTGTACAAAAATAAAAAATAATAATTAATAAAACCAAAAACGAAATGCACGCACTTCTTCTTGTGTCTCTGCTTTTGTGTGTGTGTGTTTGTGTTTTTTTTTCCTGTAGCTTAGTAGAGAAAGAAAAACGAAACGAAAACTGAACTCTAAATAAATTTTACTCTGGATGGCAATGTTTGTTTGTTTGTTTGTTGTGGAATTCACACCACATAAGAAACGAATCAAAATATTCACTCCTTGCGACCGGGCGGGTGTGGTTCCTTTCTCTCTGGATTCGTGATGCTAGAGTTGGCGCGAGGCACGACCAGGATCGAACCATCCGCGGATGTTTGCAGGCTGTATTGATAGGGCGAATACTGGTTACCTTCAGGATCTCGTAGATTCTGAAAAGGCACGAAAACAAGCGGTCAGCGTATTCGAGAAAGTGGAAAAGATTAGACCTACCTGAAATACGTGACGGTAAAGCTGCTGGTACTTGTCTTTTACGCGTTGGCATTCGCCTGAGAGATACTCGTGCTCGTTGAGGAGTCGAATCTTCCTGTCACGCATGTCTTTCACCTCATCAGCCAAGCTCAAAATCTGATCCAATTTGCGCTTTCTGCAGTTCTGTGCTGCTACCTATAACCATAAATATTGGTTTAGGAAAATCTTTTTCAAAGATAGATTTCTATTTACTTACTTTATTCTTGCCTCGACGACGAATGTCTCTGATCAGGCTAAGCTGTGCCTCACTCAGGTCGTACTTGGAAAGACGCTCGTTGAATTCATCCATTGGCAAATTGATGATCTCGTCAACGGAGATTGGCACGCTCAAGGCACGAGCGCGCTTCTCATCCCTAGTCAGATGTTCCTCCTCGGCCTTTCTACTCTTCATCTTATCCCGGGAGATGGGTCGTTGCATAGCACCTGTACTCTCCACCGGCAGATGATACGTGTGGTTATGCTGGATATGCTCCAAATGATTCCTTGCCAAATTGTGTCTGAACTCCATATTACAAGGATACTTGATTTCAGGCGGCTTCGGAATTGCTCCTTCAGCTTGGTTTGAACTGTTGTAAACCGACGCACTTCCAGGATCACGGTACTCATACTTAATCGGAGCTTGTGCTTGCGTCGAACCTTGTTCCTGAAACCGCAACCACGACGTTAATTAACACTTCTAACTTCTCCGGAGAATGGAAGCACTTACTTGGAAGCAACGTTTTCCAAACATGTGATGTTTCTTCTGAGCTACTGGCAATCGGTTAGCATCTGATGGTCCGAAAGTAGTGGTCGAGTGTTGTCTGCTCGAATAACTGTAGTCGTAGGGTCTATATTTTCTGCAAATAACAAAGTGGTTCTTCATAATGCAAATGAATTCAATTGAAAAGGACGGAGCAATAACGACGACACCTATGAGCAAGGCTATGGAACGTTTTTACGTTCTATAAACTGCATTACCAAAACACCAGCGCAATGAATCGTTTATTAAGTGCAGCGTACTTTTCCTTTCCTCTTTAGCCATTATACAAATCATATCAACTATAATTTAAAACGATTTTAACAATGCGTAGTTACATTCAATTTCACTACTCGCACTAGATATTCTATTAAACAAAACTCAATTATAGACTGCATTATCAAAAATCAAGCAATAGTAATCAATTAATTATAATATTATAACTATATTCATATCAGCTTTATCTACAGCAATTAGTTCCGTAGACATGCATACGTAATTGACTTTCGATATAATTTATCAACTATCGAATAAATGATGATAATGAACGTAAGAACTACGCAAACAGATAAAAACTGGACTTGAATAAATGCGCAAGCAATTTATGATTTGCTCAGTTATCACAAGAAAGTCTAAATAACTTTTTAAAGAATCAATAGTTAAAATACAATTTATGATTTATCTCCATATGTTATGTTTTAAAAAAGAAGAAGTTTACCATGTCAATCTTCTAATATTTAACTTGACTATGATGTTGAGGATACATGAAAATTGGAAAATACAAATTGCACATATCAAAGTTTATTGCGAAAATATTTCCATTTAAATATAATCATTTCGATAGACAGACATAATTATCAAACAAATCGTTTATTTTTGTAAATTTTGAAATTCTATGAAGTAAAAATTATCGGAAAATGAAATAAAAATTATTATTTTGAAATATTTTCAGATCTCTAATATTTTTAGAACTTATTTCATTTTCTTTATGAACTTTCGTTGGCCAGCCGAAATTAAAAACAGTTGTATCCAGCTGTGCTTCATGACCTTTTTTCAATTGTGTAATATATTTATGTATGCGTCTGCAACATGAATACATGTTTTGATTATCATTGGGAATAATAGAAGAGGCATGGCTGAAAGTCTTCAGTCATTAGCTATTGAAGCCTCATGATTCAATAATAATATTATTACTATTAAGCAGTATTGGACGATCCTATTCATTAAATTTCAACCAGTTTATTAACTACTTAATGTAAAGTCAATTATTTGAACAATTTTAATTTTCTTAATATGTTATATTTACTATATTTATTATATTTTTATTTTATTAAATAAGAGACAAAACAAAAGTAAACATCAAAATTTGATGTTTACAGAAAATGCGTTAAAATTCAAATTCAAATAAATGATAATTAATTTTAACTAATTTAAAAAGAAAACTACACTACAACTATTGAATATGATGTGTATTAAGATCTTACCTTTAGTGTATCTGCGTTATATGAATAGGCTCGATTGATTAAGTATTATTTTGATCAAAATTTGTGTAAAAATGAAAATGTGACTATTGTGATTACCGGTAGATTAAAATAATACCGATGTCTATTGTGACTGTTTGAAGATTTTGACTAAGATATAATGAATGTTTTGACTCGTTGTTGTTGGATAATCCGGTTTAGGGATAATCTAAAGATGATATTAAAGGTAATAAGGCTTACGTGTAATCGTTCACATAGTGATCACCAGCGGTGTGTCCAGAATCGGAGCCGGCATCGCACCACTCTCCGTCGGATAGCGATGGCACTCGTTCGGAACCCATGGAGCTGACGGCACTGTCGCTGGAGGTGTCCATCCGTTCGACGTCTACACGAGAGGAGGACATTGGGGCAGCACCCGTCGCACTGGACATACTTAGGTTGCTGACGGCATTGTTGCTGTCCAACATCCGCATTGTGTACATTCCTGCAATCGAGGAGAATAGTGAACAGGAATGTCAGATGGAACCGTCAGCCGTGCACGGAATTGCATGATTCATTCGAAAATTTTGGTGCTCGCTTAGTTAATCGCCGTTTTGTAGGTTGACGCTTTATCTCCGGCTGATAAAAAAGAGCTGATGTCATTGCGCGCCGTGGATTTTGCTTACATAAAGTCAAACGAAACGAGGCGAGCGCATGCGAAATCAGAGAAGAGCCGAACGGAAAACGCAACAAAAGGATCTAATCCAGCCAATTGTTTCTAATTTCGCAACAATGCTCTACGTGCTGCTTTGTTTATTATTTTTTTTTCTTGTGTGTGTTTTTAGTGCGACTGTTTCCGGTATATTTCTGAAGAGCATAATATTCATTATTTAATTTGTGGAAGGAAATTAAAAATAAACAAATGTCGGTAGTTTTAGCATGCGAAGGTCGCGGTTTCTAATTTGCGGGAAACACGCCGAGAACTTACTGCGCGCGACTTTGGAATGGTTAGCATCTTCTGCTAACCAAAGGTTAAATCGATAAACGTAACTTTAGGATGAAAAATCGGGCTTCGAAACAGCAACGAAAACCGCGCGTTGTCGCACTTTACAGAGCACTGATACAGCTGAGGGTCCAGAAGGGACTCCAGTTTTATTCCGCGGAAGTGAGCTGCGAGTCGCGGACAGCTCGGATGCACTAATTCCACACTATTGAAACTATGCCAATAAGTTTCGTTACACGCAACATAACTTTAAAAATAAAACGAGGCGCGCGCGCTTCCCGAATATTATGAATGCCTCACGTGCGCCGTCAGGCAACAAAAGGCCTATCGTCCTTTCGGAAACGGTGACTGTTTTATAGACTTGACCCAACTTTCCCGGTGGTATTGTTATTATTATTTGTTTGATAAGATTGCGCGAAGGCGTAGATATAGCAGTTTCCTGCATTGAATATGCACCAAAATAGCCAGTAGGATTTCCAAGAGTACGCGCGACCTACCTTCGTTCATCGCCATATCCATAAGCTGCAGGTCTTCGTCATTAAGAATGGATGACAGGAAACCGTCGGTCTGGTTCAGGTCCGATGTGGTATTCTGAAAACGAGACATTAATTGATGGTCTTTTCCCGCCTGCCGAGGAGATCCTACCTGATAATACATCATATCGTGTGTGGGCTCGAGCTTATAGTGACCAGCATTGCTGGGTTCACCCATGGGCTCGCTGCTGTTCGTAAGGTTCATAGAAGTGGCAACGGCGTTACCCAAATTCGTACCTCCTAAATTTACAAAAAATAATCAATCATAAATTTGTTTGTTCATTAACAGGACTATAGAATGAATTACCTAAATTGCTGTAAGGTACTGTGGAATTGATGTCGCCCATTGGGGGCGTCAGGGTGGCGTTGTGGAGGAGAACCCCTCGCGCTGCGTCAGGACCGTAACCCATGCCGTGCGTGTGGGGGTGGCTATAGTTGTGCAGCGCATGGTGGTGGTGGCTGAAGGGATGTGCCATGGCCGCCGAATCGCCAGGACTGGGCAGGCTCAGGAGGTTAGCCAGGTCCTGCCATCTTTGCTCCATGCTCATCGTGCGAACGATCGGCATGCGGCCCTACGATTCCAAATTAATCCCAAATTAAAGTAAACAGAGTCAAGTGAAATTCGAATCTTGTATAAACACAGGTACCCCACTCGACGTCAGGCCCCGATCAAAGTGGAGAGTAACAAAAAAAACGGTAAAATAAATACGACTCCCAAATTGTATTTTTTTTTTATTTCAGGAGAATCGACGTAGAACATTAACTCCTTGAATAGAGGAAAGGTTCTTACACTTGTTTAATGGGGGGAGGACAGGTACCGGAGAGACGCAAAGTTGAAGATGATTTGACAAGAGGTGCCCACAAATGACCACAAAAGTCACAAACCATCTTACCTGTCACCATAAAGCAAGCCCGAATTGAAAACAACCATTTGTCACAGAATTACACAATTAATTGAAATAGGAAACGTATTATATCAAAAACCATAAACTATTTAGAACATTAAAAATTATTTAATAAATTACGAAACAATTAATAAATTGATTTTGGACTTCAGATTTATTACAATGAAAATTTAATATTTCGAGAAAAGTACTTTTTGCCAAAATTAATAACAGCGATAAAAAAATTTATTTGAAAATAGTAAATAATTTGGAAAAATTAAAAACAATCCAATTGGATTTGTATCTTAATGTATCTTAATAATTATATTGAGTTCTTACCTTTTGTATAAATGTGATATTACTCGAAATCATAGTATTAACTATTCATAAAATTTGTAAGAAAACTATGAAATTTTATTTGTTTTGCTTTCATTCAAGAAGCATTAACTCTTTGAATAGAGGTAAGAATCTTACACTTGTCTAATGGGGGACAGGTACCGAAGAGCCGCAAAGTTGACGATGATTTGACAAGGGGGGCCACAAATTGCCACAAAAGAAACCATCACAAACCATCTTAGCTGTCAACATGAAGCGGTAGCAACGGACATTTGTCACACAATTGCATAATTCTCTTTCCCATGCGTAATTACACGACGGACGGACTTTATATAATAAAGACCCGTCCGCTGCGCGAACGGTAATTACTCGCATGAAATCGCGAATCCATATACTACCGAAATCCAACGTTAATTACCATTAATCAAATGATACTTAACCTTGGCCATCTTGCAAACAAACCACCAAAACAATATATTAACCTCAAACTATAAGGCAACAAACAAGACAACAATTATCACTATATTCTACTCCTCTTTTTTTTTCTCTCTCGTTATTCTTCTTCTCAGACCGGACAACATTTAATGTTTGTTGCGTAACCTCACGAAAAAAATATGCCGCACGGAATGACCGCAATTAACGGGGAAAATCTGTTCGTGATCCAAGGTGACGCAACGTCCGCTCACGAAAAATGTGTAATCTCGAAATATATATATATAAGCGAGGAAAATCAATTAAACAGAAAAAACAGGTTTAAATAAATTACAGGACAGTACATTTAATTGACGCAACACGTGCGTTCATTTGTAAACTGACTTTTTTTTTATAATGTTGAAGTACATTTCCTTTCTTTTTAATTTTTACAAATTAAATATTTTTAAAAGTTCCATAGCAACAATTCTATGAAGTTATTTTAAATTTTGAACTTTAAAAAACGATATTTAAATAGAAAAAAAATAATTTACTTTAACTTTGATAAGAATAATTATTTTAAAATATTCAAATTTTAATTTATAAATTAAAAAAAAATCATTTTAATAGTGCTTCATTTATTTCCTTCTGTAATGATATTTACGTGCATTTTGATTATTCATTCATCGAATATATTAAAATAGTGATAGTTTTCATATACAATTTTTTTTTAATAAATTTTATTAATATTCAAGAAGAATATTGAGATTGATAATATTTATACTGTTGGATGAATTAGAAATAAAGCCGAATTTTACTTGTATTTTTGAAAATAATTATGTTTTGATAGTGTAATATTCTCTATAGTAATATAAATAATTGCTAATCGGTAAGTAGTTGATAAAAAAAAAAGTTGTACTAACTATGTAGGCATTTACCTGGAAAGCCCGGTGATGGGGGTGGTGGAACTGCGTTTGGATCATATCGCCGAAGATGTCGAACTCGTCTTCAGATTCGCTCTCCTTGATGCCCAAAGGTCCTGTAGCTGTGGTGGATGTGGAACTGCCAGCAACGGCGGTGTCGGGGTCCGAATCACCTGGAGATCCGCTTTCCAAAGCCTTCTCGCTCGCCGCTTCCTAAAAGAAAACGAGGATTAGCACTTTGGAACGCGCTTCCAGAGGTTGTTTGATACTTACTTGTGGTGCGTCGTCTTCTAATCCGACTAACTGGAGGGCCTGTTCCAGAAAGAATTCGGGGAGCGGTAACGATAGGTCCCCAAGTGGAAGATCGCACGAGGGGCCGCACTCCGCTCCAGTAAGACTGTCTTCTAACTCTCCCTTTATCACATACTCCCCTACAACAACAAAATATCCTTGCAATCATTGAAACCAACAACAAGAACGGGCACTGCTTTCAACGGACTTCTCAATTCTGGTGCGTGCCTCAGTGCAAACATATACAACACAGAACGAGCATCGCGAAAACAACATTTCACTAAGGAGTTAACAGGCGAACAACAACCAACGAAAATGGACACGAATTGCACGGAAAATCGGACGCAATGGTACTGAGCGCAACCAGGGGACCCGACCCCTCCGGTACCCATCAATTTCTCCCCGCTTTGTGAAAGCTGCTCGCTCATTGGCCGACGGTTACCTGTTTCTAAAGTGTAACACCTAGAATATATTCTCCTTTTTTCCTCTCTTCGCTCCCCCACCCATCATCCTCTCTCGCTCACTCTACCAGACCCTCAATTCTACTCGTTATATCCGACCTGCCCACCATTATAATCTAATTTCGGGCCCCAAAAAAGAATATGGTTCCTCACGATGCGTCTCTACATATTTCGTTCTACATGAAAACAAACGCAATAAGGACGAAACCAATTAAAAACTAAACATTAGTTTTCATTTTCTGTGACTATTTCTTGCATTTAGAAAATCACAAAGAAAACTCGAACCGGATTTCGATCCAATTAAAACCGCATTTTTTTCCCTCCAACAATAACTTTTCAATAGCACAATTATCGTCATTATTTTTCTCAACTCTACCGGAAATCTACATTCGTTATTTTATTTTGACTTTTCAGATTATCCTACGTACATTTTTTATAAGATTTCGTGATTACCAAGATTACTGGTAAATACTAAATATATGTAAAGATGCAAAGCCGATTTTCTGAAGTTAATCTGAATCGGAATGCTTTTCAATACGAAAGTAGCTTAAGTATTAACAATTTCATCCAGACTGTAACTTAAAATGAAAATCTATAACTCCAATTTACTAAATTTTCTCAAATTTATAAAACGCATTAATTTCCTCAATGTTTCAATTTAAATTGACTTTCTAACAAAATTGCTTATGTTGTTTTTATTTATTTATGATAAAATTATTGCGTTTCAGGAAAATACAAAGAACATATATTATGAATAAATGACTTCGGATTTTTAATTGTTTTTTTTTTCGTTGTCGAATATAATTATTTAAAAAAAAAATAACATCGTTATAATTTTAATGGAGAGTGATCAAAGTTCCATAGTATGATGCGCTCTTCGCTTCGAATTCCTATTCTTATTAACTATTAATTAATCATTGCAACATTAAAAAAAAAATTCAACAAAATTAAAAATTGTAGAGAATAATGTAACTCAATATAATTTAAAAACTATGTTAGATTAAGCTATTATGCAAGTCAACGAAGGTCAAGCGAATAACTGTAAGAAGTAATTTAATTATATTTTTTACTCGGATTTATACTTTTTCGATTAGCTTTTAACAAATTGTTTTTTTTTATATACAGTTTTTTTTTAATAAAAGTTGAAGGTTAATTAAATTTATTATTTAAAAAATTTGGACCTAATGGAAATTTATAAAATATAAATTTTATTTTTTTATTTATTTGATACAATCTGTGTCAAAGGGCAATATAAATTTTAATTTATAACAAAAATTAAAGTTAATTTTTTATTACATTTCTTTAAATTAGAATTAAGTAATACCATGACCTGCATTGAGTGTGTAATTGTAGGTCTATGCGGTTATTATTACTGATACGGATAACAAAACTTATATTATACCTCAGAGGTGATATTTCACTATCCAGGATGTAGCGCGGGTAATCTCTGGATTAGGTAATAGTGTTTTATAATCCTAGTCGATTGCGGTTTGATTGATAATGAAGTCCTTAGTGATTGGAGTCGGGAAGCACAGTCACTATAACTATAATACGCGGAAACGGACGACGTATCTAATGACAGAAATGTTGGTAACCTATAGTTAATAGATGTTACCGGGTATATGTTGATAGCTGTTGACCCAGAGGTACAACTTTACCAGCGATAAACGTAAAACTGCGGCCGGCGACCGTCGACATCTCGAATAAATCTGATCTGATCGGTAATTGGGCGGAATTCGCGCGTCCGACCAGAGCACCACTTTTTTCCTCATTATTGGTATAATGTCCGAGTACTCCGTCATCTCTCTATCGCACATGCATGCATACCAAGATGATGCGAGAGAAAACGCTATAATCACACACGTGCCGCACCGACTTAATTGCACCAATAATTGATTCGAATTAAATACCCAACTGCCGATAAGTTTCGTTACATTTTGCACCTCTCCGCCGTCCCCCGCGTATCGCCACTATAATTAGCCGGCTAATAGCCATCATACAAAGTTGTTTAAATTACACCGTTTTACGTAAAACAGAAACGTCAAGCCAACGAAGTGCGCTACTCCTATAGTTCCAAAACCACCGGAACACAACCTGAGCTTTTTACTTATTAATCCGCACGAATTTTAATGGTTACGCAGTTGCCGACAATGCGACGGCTGATTTTCCATCGATGGTCAACAACAATATCAAAAGAGAAGAAGAAAAAAAAAACATGAAGATGAAGAAGAAGAAACGAACAAGAGGAAAACCGTACGTGCAGCATATACTGACGATGGTATATGGGTATATACATGTGTATTCTGTAATATAATGAACGCATTCCTCGACGATGATTAATGTAGTATTTTCCGTGGAGAGGCGTAGCTTTGGAATTAAAAACGAATACATTATGTGGTGCGCGCACCGCGCAGCCCATTTGTGGTCTCGGATGGAATCGAAAATCAAAGGATGCCGCCATGCGGGCCGCCATTTTGTCGAGCGACCCGATCACAAAGATGTGTTAACGCGCGCATCTCTTAATTTCACCTTAATCACATTCCAACCGCAACCACTTACAAGAAAGGAAAAGGACGATGAAGAGGTGGAAGAGAGAAGGGGGAGTGGTAAGGCGAGGAGAAGGAGGAGGCGAAACGAAAGAGGAGAGCCGCATCCTCGAAACTTCTTCACCTGATGAACATCAATCCTGTCCAGAGTAGTCTTCGTCGGTATTAAAAACGAGTATACATATATATATATGTATACAGAAAAAAGATGGTTGCGCGACCGCGGATTGATGAACGATGGCGCTGGTACAATGCTCATCGAAACATGTTTTTTTATCCTAAATTAATACAACATAAACAATAAGTTTAATTAACTTCAATTATATTTTGTCAACCAATTTTTTATATTATTACTAGAAATCTTCAAATTCACTATATTATAAATTATAGGAAAAAAATAAGTTTACTTGTAATTATCTTTTATGTAAAAAATGAAATTAATGGAATTTAACTCATAAATCAATTCCGGAAAAATAAAAACATCACGGGAATTAATTAAACGTTTAATTTTGCGTCCCTGGTGATAATTTATAATTAATAGAATAAAAAAAAGGAATAAATAATAGTCATAATTAATAAATTAAAATAAGGTTGTCATCTTCAATTTCGTCAGAAATAATATTGTATTAATTTCGTATTTGAACACGTGTATCAACGTTGAATAGGTTCAAAAGCCTGTTACAAGACATTATGTATTAGCAAATTGGCATGACAAGCAACAATCATGTAAATGTGTATAATTGTTGCTATAACTTTGCATAAATTGAATTTGGACCTTACCAATTGCAAAAATTAACTTGTAACTATGAAGATGGAAAAAGGAGATGCATACATATTAAACTTGACCGCATAACATGTATCCGTTTTAGGATAGAATTGCTGGCTTTAATTTGAAGCACATCTCAATCTTGCTGCATTCGATGTTGAGAGAGAAATAGAAAGAGATGCAGGGAAATAAAGGTAGAGACATTTTGACACCGGAATGGTTCTATTACAACAATAGATTAAAATCTATTCTCTGAGCGGCTCTCGAATATCTATTGTAAAGACCCAAATTACAGCCGTCATGTATCCTTTCAATTTAATTCATTTTTCAAAATCGAACTCGACTTAAACCGAAATCACAAACTAATCAACCGTTTTTGGTAACGTAACTTTAATTAGAAATAAGAAGAAGAAAAAAAAAACTAACTGACGATAGCATCTTTAATTTGAAATGACGTGTTATAAGATTAAAAGCACGCAAAAGGAAGCACGCTTGAAAAACGTATTGCTGATGGGAATATGTATGAACATTATGGGCGAAGATATCATCAATCAAAGACACGCTCGAGGTTTATGAAATACGAAATGAAGAATGGCGTTACGTGTTGTAAACGAAAATCGTTATTATGTTTAAACCCGGCTGAAGATAAGATAGCGACATGAAGGAAAACATGTAATTAGATTAGATTTCATTAAAAGAAATAATATAATACGCTATATATATGCATTAAACAGCTCATCAAGATATGTAAATTTTGTAAAATGTGTAACTGTAACTGTTATGTAATAAGCAAAAACAAAAGAATAACTGAAACGTTGATAAAAGCTGAAGCAACGGCACTGGAGATGAGGAATACCAAAATAACAACAACGTCATCAAATTAAAAAAAAAACATAAGTACAAGAACGCAACAAAACAGCAGCGTCGAACGGCTACAAACTCGAAGTGGTACAAAGTGATGAAAGTGATTTCGCATTGAATACAATTATGTATGTGTGTTTGAAAAAGTGAATTGCAATTGAAAACAATACGAAAACGGTCTAAGCGACGACCACGATGATGATGATGATCATCATCATCACAATAAAAGCAGAGCTTTTCGCCTTCGCCCGGCGAAGAGAGTTGGATCCTCTTCAGAGGAGAGAGACCGTTTTCTTTCGCATCACCGTTGCTCAGCGTTCGGCATTCACGGCCGTCTTCTTCCTTTACATCTATTTTTGTATCCTTTTCTTCTGTTTTTGTTCCCCACTTGCCAAGTACAATATTCCTGGAGTTTCGCGCGAACGCATGAACCACTCGAGAGTCAATAACCAGGAGGAAGAACAAAAGCAACGAAATCGCGGCCAGAAGGATTGGGAAGAAAGGTA